AAGACAACCCCACCTCCTCAGCAGTGCTGCAGCAGCAACAGCAACAGCAACAGCAGCAGCAGCAGCAGCAGCAGCAGCAGCAGACACAGCAGCAGCAGAAGTATTAAGCTGCAGGGAAAGACTGCAGACACGGGGAGGGACGTACAACAACAGAAGGAGACAAAGGAGACAGAAAACACAAAACAAACAAAAGATAGAAAGGAGACAAAGGAGACAGCTGAGAGAGGAGACAAAGGAGACAGAAAGGAGACAAAGGAGACAGATGAGAGAGGAGACAAAGGAGACAGAGAGGAGACAAAGAAGAAAGCTGCGAGAGAGGCGAAAAAGGAGACAGAAAGGAGACAAAGAAGACAGAGAGGAGACAAAGAGGAGACAGAGCGGAGACAGAGAGGAGACAGAGCGGAGACAGAGAGGAGACAGAGAAAAGAAAAAGGAGACAGAGAAAAGAAAAAGGAGACAGAGAGAAACCCTCACACTCTAGCTAGCTTATAAACCTCGCGCTGCTGCTTGGGCCTCAGCAGCAGCAGCTGCTCCAGCAGGTCGCCATCGATGAAGCCCTTTGCATGCGCCCGGTACCCGTCCAGCCCCACACCGCAACCAGGGCTGCCAGTGCGAGCTGAGACAGCAGCAGCAGCAGCAGCAGCAACAGCAGCAGCAGCAGCAGCAGCAACAGCAGCAGCAGCAGCAGCAGCAGCAGCAGGAGCAGCAGAGGAGACACTGTTGTAGGCGCACAGGATACAGATGTTGAGGAGGAACAGCAGCAGCAGCAGTAGTTGTTGCTGCAGCAGCAACAGCAGTTGTAGTAGTAGTAGCAGCAGCAGCAGCAGCAGCAGTTGTGGCTGCAGCAGCAACAGCAGTTGTAGTAGTAGTAGTAGCAGCAGCAGCAGCAGCAGCAGCAGCAGAAATAAAAGCATACACAACACGCTCTATGCAAAGACATAAAAGCAGCAGCTGCACGCACTCCATCCGTAGGTGCTGTACATGCATGCATAGCCTTGTACATGCATGCATGCATGCATGCATGCATGCATGCATGCATGCATGCATAGATCTGTACAAGCATGCATGCATGCATGCATGCATAGATCTGTACATGCATGCATGCATATATCTGTACATGCATGCATGCATGGACCTATACCTGCATGCATGCATGCATGCATGCATGCATGCGTGTACATATATACTTATACATCCATGCACGCATGCATGCATGCATGCACACATGCCCACATGCATGCACACATGCATGCATGCATGCATGCATGCATGCATGCATGCAAGTGTATACATACCGCCTAGAGGGTGTGTGATATCTGCGAGTGCGTGTTGTATGAGTGCGAGCTGCGCGAAGGTGCTGCTGTCTCTGAACCGCAGCACAACGCCGATGCTGCCCTCGGCAGAGACCCAGGTCCTTGTAGATAAGGGACAACATAAACTCATGCAGCTCCTCCTGCTGCTGCTCCTGCTGCTGCTGCTGCTGCTGCTGCTGCTGCTGCTGCAAGGAGAAAGAGATGAGACGGAGGCATGTAGATGTCCCTCCCCAGTTGCTGCTGCTGCTGTTGCTGCTGCTGCTGTTGCTGCAGTTGGTGAGGTTTTGGATAGATCAAGTAGCAGTTGCTGCTGCTGCAGCTGCTGCTCGCTGCTGCTGCTGCTGCTGCTGCTGCTGCTGCTGCTGGTGTCTCCAAGCAGCCCCTCTTCTAGCTGCCAG